GAGATTCTTAGTTTCAGAACTGTTCACCGAAAGTGAACCTCAATCGTTTAATTGCAAAAAAGGTGATTACGATTCAATATCTAACTTTATTGCATCAATCGACTGGAAGTTTTTATTTCTGCATAAAACTGCAAATCAAATGTTCAATATACTAATTTCTAACTATCGCACTGCTTGCACATATTTATTTCCAAGATTAATAAAACAAAAAAAACTATGATCTTTGGGTTACCCCACATATTAAAAACCTGATCCGAGCAAAAAAATCCGCTTGGCATATTAACTGCTCTACCAAATGGGAGAATAGTGAGCTTAAAATAAAATACAATCGACTTAATCGTTCAGTAAAAGCTGAAATATTTAAAGCAAAAAAAGCACATGAAAAAGAAATAATATCAAAATCCCAAAACAACCCAAAACTCGTTTACAAATATATCAACAAACAACTAAAAATTAAAGATCGAATTCGCTCTCTCAAAGATACTTCTGGCAGAATTATTGAAGCTCTTCCTGATATAGTTGATCTTCTGAACTCTCAATTTGAATCTATGTTTACACTTAAAAGCTCTGAAAATTTTCCTTTGCTAAATAAAAGTGGTATTCATTCTGAATGTGGTATTTATTCTGAATTCTGAAAATTTATAATGAATTCTAAAAGTGGTATTCATTCTGAATTCTGAAAATTTATAATGAAAACTTGGATTTCTCTATCCCAGATATTAATCAGGAATTTGCCGATCTAAACCCTTATAAATCCTTCAGATTTGGCGGCCTGCATCCCTTAATACTCAAGATATGTGCCAAATGCTTTGCAATTCCATTAACAAAAATCTTTCATGAATCCTTTAATTCTGGAGTAGTACCCAGTCAATGGAAGTTAGCAAATATTAGTCCGATCTATCGAAAAATTAGTAAAGAGCAAAATTTTAAAGCACATTAACGGTAATAAAATGCTCTCTGCAAATCAACATGGCTTCCTTTATCATAAATCATGCGTAACTTACCTAATAGAAACTTTTGATATCATTTTGTCCTCCATAGCATCCCACTAATTTATTGATGTAATCTATCTTGACTTTGCCAAAGTGTTTGATTCTGTACCTCACAACAGACTTTTGTTTCGGAATAAACGGCAAACTCCTACAATGGATTAAATCCTTTTTAGTGGACAGAAAGCAACGCGTTACAATTAACAATACCAACTCTGCATAGGTTGATGTTCTTAGTGGTGTTCCTCAAGGTTCTGTTCTCGGCCCGCTCCTCTTCATTCTCTACACAAATGATCTTGCAAAACTCACTGAAACTTCTGAGATATTTGCCGATGATACTAAACTTTTTTCTAAAACCTTATCGCAATCTAATTTTGTTGATCTGCAGGATCGTTTACGCTTGGTATACGAGTGGTCAAACACTTGGTTACTTAAGTTAAACACCTCAAAATGCTGCGTCCTTCATTACAGTCGAAACAACCCCCATTATAATAACTTTCTGCAAAATAACCAAGCAATCAACCAATGTCTAAGAAGCTCTACTAAAGAACGTGATTTAGGAGTCATTTTTACATCTAACCTCAAGTGGAGCGCTCATATCAAACAGATGTCTCCAAGTCCTTACAAATTCTTGGTATGCTGAAAATGACATTCACTTTCATTGATGAAAAATATTTTTTTGGATATATATTTCAGAGATTGTATACTAAATTTCAAAGTAGTAAAAATTTATGTAAGTATAACCAACAGTGTGTTTCAATTTTACTGCGCTGCAGGGTTATCGGAAATGATACTCAGGCACTTGTAAATATTAGAGATAGAGGTAGAGTTTGTGAAAAGTAAACAATATAATTCAGGATTTTTTTCTAACATGCAGGATTATTTTTCGTAAAAAAACAACACAAGTTTCTTTAAAACTAGATCCTGAAGTTCTAATTGAGTCAATGTCAACAAAATATATTGTTTTATTTTTTGTAAAACAAGTCTGCAATAATCCAGAATCAACCGAAGTTAGCAAAAATTTGCTAGAGCACTTAATTACATTGTTTGTAAGAGTTCGTTTATTTTCTTTTGCCAAAGATATAATTGAAAAGCATAAAATGAGAAAGAGTTATACTTTATATAATAAGATGATCCTTCAATAAACTTAAGGTTAGGGTCAATTATTTCTAACTTTTATTATACTTACATCAGTATTTAAATGTATATATATATATATATATATATATATATATATATATATATATATATATATATATATATATATATATATATATATATATTTTCGTGATAACTCCAGGGAGGGCATCGGGTTGTAAAAAATTGCTTCAATTCTTTCATAGTGGCATATTTATGTCACTATGGAGAACCATCCAAACCACTCAAGCGAGGAAACATGGATGTAAACATCCAAAAAAAAAAATATATATATATATAGCGAGGAACAATACTTCAGCACGTTAGGATAATCTAACTTGACACTATATATATGCAGTTATTAAATTTATTGATTTATTAATTAAGTGTACGTGTTACCCAGCAATTTATTATTTTTTTATTGAAAATTATTTATTGTACCAATTTTTTATTAAGTACTGAATTTTACCATTTTGTCAAATACTGTTACTGGATAGTAACATGCATTAATTATTTTTTAACCAAAGTTATTTGTTTCTACTACAACAGCTTAACGTTCACTATTATGGTTACATTAACTATATTTATATAACATTCACTTATAACTATAACTAACCAAATATGAAATACTAACCTTTTTTTTCCTTCATGTTTGCCTCCCCCTCCCGCCTAAAAATTTTGTAGTTTTTCTTTGCTCATTTTTAAAAATGTTATTATCTATGTCATGTGTTGTTCAATCATCATGTGGATCAATCATTAAAATTTTTTCTATTTTCTTGATTAGTTTATTATTTTAATTAAATGTATTAAAATCGGTTATTTCATTTTCAAGTTCATTTCAAACACCCAGTGGCGGATTAAGGGAGGGGGCCATTACAGTCGAGAAGGCTACTCATTTCTTTGCGTTTTTTTTTTAATCGTGGCACAACCCTATCTTAACTCTTTAACTCCGAAACACGAACCTTGACAAGCAAGATCGCTGCTAAGTTAAACGCGGTACTTCCAGGGAAGTGGTAGGAGTCGAACTCCGAAGCTCTCGCATACAAAGCGAGCGCTCTTACAACTACAATATTGCCGCATATTGACCCGAGCCCCAAAATTTAGGGTATATAAAATATTATATAGGACTTTTTTTTTTAAACATTTTAGCCTCTGGCACATAAAAAAACTCTAAAAACATTAATAGCCCCAGACCCCAAGAAGTATTAATCTGACACTGCCAACACCTTTTGTAAAGGAGCGTTAGAAGTGTATAAGACTATCGTTTTATTATTAATATTGATTTAAGATTGTCCGTAATTAATGGAATTAATTTCTTGCTCACTGTGTTTATGCATGACATTTTGTAGCTTTTGTTTAACTCACTAAGTTTACAAAATCTGGATGACATACTATCGAAATCGGCTGATCGGTACCAACAATAAAACTCAGCAATAACTTGTTTAATTTTTTATGACCAGTCTCTTCAAAACCATTCTCATTACCGCTCTCAATATCGGATATATCGTCATCGTAGAGCAAAGTTTTCTTTCAAATTTACGCTATTCAAATTTAGATGAATGAATTTGATTTTTAATCATTGTGTTTTCGAAATAAAAAAGTATTTTCAAAAGAAATTTTTATGTAATCAAAACGATAGGCAAAAACTTTTTATCTATATTTTTAACGCTATTTAAGCTATCAAAAAGGCTATTCAAGCTTTTGGTGAGGGTAATATAATTCCTAAAAATAATTTTATAAAAGTAAAACGTCATGAAGCATAATCTAATCAGGCGAGAGAGATGAAGGAGAAGGTATTGTTTGTCGCACGCATCAGATGTCCATGGAATATCAATGAAATGTAACTAATAACAATAACTTCGTATAAAGATAAACAATTTCCTTAAGAAAGTTTTTTTTTAGTTGATAAATGTTATTGTTATATTTGCAACACCAATCAAGAACTTTGAGCCACAAACCAAGGCCCCAAAATTTAAAAAAAACTGTTACTAAAAATAAAAATATTCGGTAAAAGACCCCATACTCGGTAAAAGACCCTCAAAAATTTGAAAAAAGCCCCTAAATGTGTCTCCCCCCCCCTAATTAAGGAAGCAGCGTGGGGAGCCTATTCATGGCTATGAGTATATTACTTTTTGCTATTTTTTAAAAGAAACTGCTACTTTTTTAGTAGCAGTTTCTTTTAAAAAATAGCAAAAATAGTACTATTTTCTATATATTTAGTGTTTTATTAAAGTTAGTAATTTTATTTTATTCCGTTTTAATCACCTGTGATGTCACAAATTTGTAAACACTCTTCCACCCCCGAATTACTAAGTGTCGCAAAATCCGAAACCCTGCTAGGCCTAAATATGTGAGATGATTTGCGAACAACCCCTGAGTTATTTTTAAAATAATTGCAGATTCTTTTATAAAATAGTGGAAGGTAGTTAAACCCTTTTCCCTGTCACCACTGTGCCTAACACCAAAAATTTTAAATATTATTTTATGTTAATTTTTAAGATTTAATTATTTATAAAAACATTGTAATAAAATTTTGTATAATTTCAGTAATAAAATAAATATAAGCAAATTTTAGAATTTAATAGTAATATTTGTATATTGTGTAAATCTTTTAGAATTTCGATATCACAAAAATATTTCGAAGCAAATTTCACAATTTCGAAAGTAAAAAATTGTTTCGGTAATATTTTCCGATTTTTAAAATAGCAAAAATATTTCGAAGCAAAATTTACAATTTCGAAAGTAAAAAATTATTTCGATAATATTTTCAGAATTTCGAAATCGCAAAATTATTTCGTCGCAAATTTTACAAATTCGAAAGGTTAAAATCGTTTTGATGCAAAATTAATAACTTTAAAATTAATTAGAACTTACCGAAACGAAAATAGAGTTTCGAAAACTTTTTTTTTAATCGAAAATTCAACTTTGGCTTTCGTGAACAACCCTAGTTTAAATATATATTCTGTATATACCGTTAGTCAATTTGTACATTATGACGTTTTTTTATTTTATTTTATATAATAAACTTTAATAAAAAACATATAAAAAAACATATATAAAAGACACATTAAAATGTTTTTAAAAATGATTGTTTTTTGTTTTGTTTGTTATTCGTGTATTATTTGTTATTTTATGATCTAAATTCAAAAGGTTTATAAATCTAAAACCAGTTAGAAAAAATGAATTTAATTAATAAAATGTTCTTATACTTTTGGATATATTACACCCTAACATAGCGTAAAATGTATTTTATTTTATTTTTACTTAACGTTACATTTTATTTAACGTTATTTTATTTTAACGCAACGTTTTATTTAACGTTTATTTAACGAGATACTTTGCTTTTTGTTTTTAATATTGACAGTTTTAGTTAAAGGGGCTTGGTGATAAGACTAAACTAGTCTTCATCTTGCCCCAGCCATGTATTATATATTGTATTGCACAAATTTGTAAACTTTTTTCATCGGCGAAATGCATAATAATAATAATAATTCTGAAAATATAAACTTTTCTATTCGATTATTTAAATGTTTTGTTTTAAAACATTAACTATACTTTAAGGAAAATGAGCTATTAGTAGCAATTTTACATTTAATTTTATTTTAATTTTATTGGTTAAAATGCAATTAATATTTTGTTACATTATGATGTATTTGTTTTCTTTTATAACTGATATAGTAAGTTATAATTTATGATTCTCAGTTGACAATATATTGTCAATAGCTTCTTAATAGGCTATATAAGCATATATAGAGTTTATCAAATGTCGAAAATAAATAAACATAATTTAGTTTTATTAATTAAACTATACTAAAATATGTTCTATTACTGGACGTTAAAAACGATTTCGCTGCAAATTAAAGTGAGATTTAGGGTTGTCTAGTAATTGTACTGTAGTTTACATATACTTTATATACTACACTGTAATTTATAACATGTAATACAAGTTATAAATTACAGTGTAGTTTATATAGTATATGTAATTTATTTCTTTACATTTATTCTTCCCAACTAAATAAATTTATACTATCTATTACATAAAAAAATTTGGTTAGACTGACTTTTTGCATTTATTAATATATTATATCCAACTAAACTGTTTTTCATATTTCCTTATACATAAACAGAGCATCCATAAAGTATATACACAGGTAAAGGTAGGGTTACCTAAAAGCATATAGTTTACCATATAACCTTAACTTAAACCTTTTTATATATTTTTTTTAAAAAGGAAATAAATTTTGCGAGTATAAAAGAAATACTGTTTTTTTTTGTTTCTGACTTTGGATTCAGCAGATTCAAAAAGTTAAACAATGAACTAAATGTAAATGAAATATTGTTTTTCTACAGCAACACTAAAGACAAAGCAAATTAAGTTGCATGCAAAACTCAATATAATAAAAAAAACTGTCAGCTTATTAAGTTTAACTGCTGCAAAATATAGTTTAATTAGCTAAAATCCATTATTATGTCTTTAAAAAGACTAACCTTACATAGCATTGACAACCTGAATAGTGTGAGTACAATTATTGCATGAATCAAAAAACAACCATATTTAGAAAGTAAAAAAAAGGAGAAGTTATAGTATAAATAGAAAAAATTGAGATATCTTATAGAATGCCTTTTTATGCATCCATTTTAATAGAAATATTATACTTGCCAACATACCGTATACTTTTTTTTTTGTAAATCAAGAATGCTAAATCTATGATATGACTCTTTTTTTAATAGTTATATAAATTTTTTAATACCATTATCATTTGACTTTTATACTTAGATATAATTGAAAATCTTGTTTTCATAAAATAAAATAGTAACATACAACTGTTGTTACAAGAGTTGAGCAGCAAAGTGTAAAGATGAAATCAATAAAAACAAAAGATTGAGTTATAGTTTTCAAGTAAAGCTCGATACAAAGGTAAAAGGGTTTAAAATAAACATCAACAATGCAAAAAATTTTGCATTGTAAAGATAAGAATAAGCAAGCAAAAAAATCTAGAAAGCGGTCATGTAGAGTGTGTAGGAAAAGAACTATAACAAACTCTATAGTTTGTATAGTTTGTCTTTCTATAACATTTTTATGAGAATCTTGGAAATACAATTTTGTCAAGAGATAGGGCAGAGGTAGCCATAGAGACATAAAATATTATAAAGTTATAATAAAAATTTAAAATAAAACTAAAAAGTTATGATATAAAATATCAAAATGAAAGTATATTATATAAAATATCAAAATGAAAGTATAACAATCTTTTCTATAACAAGTAATTTTAATCACATTAAAATAAGAAAATTATTACATTAAATAAGCTACTGATTATATTCTATTAAATTACAAGTGTTATAGGTAACAATGAACAATAATTAAACAACACTATAATTGTATAACTGTAAATTCTATTAAGTGAGTAACAGTATTATATGGTATATATTAATATTATTAT